TTACTGGATTCATTTGGTTTTTGGCAGCAGGATCATGTTGAGGTAACAGTAGTTAGTGAAGCTGCACAGCAGAAGTTTCTCAGCCTGATGAATAGTGGACACATCATGTTTGAGGCTTTGCTGCCGTCTGTCAGAGGCCTCATCCTGTGGTTGGTTTCTGCAGAAAGAATCTCTGGTTTCTGATTGGCTGTAAATGTCTGCTGATGTATCCGCTCTTTATTTCTTAATTTGCATCACAGTGGATCATCTATTAGGTGGTAGTGAAGCAGGAAGAGCTGTGTGGTTTCCTTCAGCAGACAGTGAGCAGTAAAAAAACAAAGGCTTCAACACACTGCTGAAGCAACAGACCATCAGACTTTTAGTTGATGGCTTCTGACTTTCTGGTCTTTCCGTTTTTTTATCCAGGAAATTAAGAGTGTCATCTATTTTACAGGTTCTCAGTTGGACCCAAAATGTTAAAGTTATGTTTTTGTCCAACTCATCACATTCTGCTGCTTTTATTTGCTGCTTTATCCTCAAACATCCAGAGATTCGCCTGTTGGACTCTAGAGCTCACAGAATAAATCAGGTTGTCATGGTGATTTCCTGGGTGGGGTCATGTGACCTCTTGCCCTCAGACATCTGGTCCAGGAGGAACCCGGTTTACAGGGACTCCATGATGGAGAAGCTAATCACAGTCATTTTCTTTCATATCGGTGAGTTAGAAACTGGTTCTACTGAACATTTGAAATTTACAGCTTAGAGCTGCTCTAGAAAACAAAGAAAACTGGTTTCTAGATCTGCTCCAAGCTTCATGTTGATTATTTATGAATTTGTTCATTTCTGATCTAAATCTTGATGTAATGAATAACCAACGTTTAGACAGCTGTTGTTTTATGAAGCTTGACTCAGACGCTGTAGAGCTGGGGAGTCCAGAGGGCCTGGGGGCCGTTTGTGGCCCCTGAAAGAATGAAATGGTTCCTATTGTTCCTCCAGCAGATGGAGACATTTTTTCTATTTCTTTTAGAATCAGATTTTCAATGACAAATGTTTATCTTAAAATAAAAATGTTAGCTACATCACAAAGTATTTTCTTCTAACATCCATGTTTTTGTTTTGTTTTTTTCTTAAATTTTAAAATCAGAGTTTGTGGGGCCACAAACATCCAGAGACTTTTGCTCCCAAACAGACAGAATTCAACTTTTCTACGTCCAATGAGGGTTTTGTTCTTCATCTTGTTTCTGAGAAAAGACTAAAAACATTTTCTACACCAACGAATTAGAAAATAATTTGACCCCAAATGTTCCTCTCTTTGATTAAAGTAAACATTTAGTGCCTTTTCCAGACTGACAATAATTTATTTTATTAAAGTTTTATGTTTTTAATTTATTGCTCTAAAGCATGAAATTTAATATGATGAAAGTATGTAATGGTTTATTACAATAGAAAAACTTTTTCTTTCTACAGAAGATTAAATAACCGAATAAAAACATCTGAACATTGATGCTGCAGAGTTTGATGTTTAATTTCCTATAAACACAGAGGGAAATAAGTTTCCTCAAACTCTGAATAAAAGCTCTTCTAAAATCAGCAACTAAGGTGAGGAAATATATAAATACTGAATTATTGGAAAGTTCATTTATTCCAGTGAAACACTTTATAAAGACGACTTCACACACAGACTGATATTTTTAAGTCTTTATTTCCATTATTTATAATTTTTTTCTGCTGAATATTTTCTGAAGGTAATTTTAATCTGTTAAATTAGCCTCAGAATAAAGGTTTAGATTAATTCAATATTTGGACAGTTTGGTCTGACTGTATCTGTTGATGTTCTACAGCGATGATGAGATTATCTCCTGCTGAGGAACTGAAGAGGAACCTGACTGGAGTTGTTGGAGGAAACATCACTCTGCCTGATCCTCTGATGGAGGAAGGATATCTCCTAGATAAAATAACAATATTGCTAGAGTAGATGAGGGAAAACTTCAGATAGAAGACAAAAATAAATTAATAAATTTCACTGGAAAAAAACCCTATATTTTTTACAATCACAGACCTGCAGAAGATCGACTTTGGAGTTTATAGAATTGATGATAAAGAGAGAAATAATTATTTCTCTTATTCTCTCTCAGTGTACGGTGAGTAACATCTTCTGTTTATCATCATAATCTGGTTTAATTCCAATATATTTGATCTCAGAAGTCCACAAGTTTCTCTCTGATGAACCTTAAATGATTTTAATCCTCAGATGTTTTCTGGGCTCAGCATTGCTAATAAAGAGAAAGGAGCGTTTTTTTTTTTAACACTAACATTTAGAGACATTTGGCAAAGATTTTAAAATATTTTGCCACTCTGAAATTTTTTGGAATTCATCAAGTTGTTATGATTCTGCCATTTATGGACTTATTGAGGTTTCAGTCACACTTTGTTTTATGTCATTCTGTTTTGCTGGTGGTTGGTTTATTTTAGGGCTGCAACTAACGATTATTTTAAAAATCGATGCATTGGCCGATTATTTTTTCGATTAATCGATGAATCGGACAAAAAATATTTTTTATATTAACCTCTTTATTCCAAAATAAACATTTTAGACAGAACAATCAAGCACANTGCCCCAGTAAAGCTTTGTGCCTAGCAACGCCCCTGAGTCACACAGTGGTGTCTGCTGATGTTGCTTGTGAAACCATATTTTTCCTTGGCCTATTTTGTGAGATAAAATGTTTTGAGTGTGCCTTGTTGAATAGGAGCAATATTAGAGAAATCTTGTACCAGTCACTATGCTGCAATGTTTAAAAGGGGGACAGAAAGCACATGGCTCCCTACTCTAGACAAGGGTGAAGGGAAGGTATGAAGGGAGATAATAATGAGTTCACACAGCCTCCTTCATGCTGTGGACTGGGAGACCTGCTCTGAAGTTTATCTGGCTAAAATTGATGTCCTTGATGAATTGAAGAGTGTTTCTTGGAAATAACCAAATGTTCAAGTGTGAGAGAGATCTTTATGCAGGGGGTGGGTTTGCTCCCCTGGGAGGAATGTGTTTGTGTAATGTATAAAAGTACGTACTGAAATGCCTCAGTCAGAAAGAACTCCATCTCCCTCCGTCCAAAGGATGTTAAATACATTTGAACATTATTCTTGCAAGAAAATCCTTTCGCCTCAGCTTCCTAACTTCACATGCTCCTGTCCACATGTTGACATTTGTTACGTTGCAGAAAGATGCTAAGGGAACCTGATTTGAGGACAGTGAGACAGATCCATCCCTTCAGAGGAAAACTGTGGCGCCGCCATCGTCTGTTTATCACTTTATTACTGGATTCATTTGGTTTCTGGCAGCAGGATCATGTTGTGGTAACAGTAGTTAGTGAAGCTGCACAGCAGAAGTTTCTCAGCCTGATGAATAGTGGACACATCATGTTTGAGGCTTTGCTGCCGTCTGTCAGAGGCCTCATCCTGTGGTTGTGTAACACAGTAAAGAAGGGTATTAAGTATTTTAGATAAATGGGCCAATAGGTTTGGCTATGGGAGCATAGTGGGGTGTTTAAATGACACACAAAGGTGGTTGGATGGATTTAAAGAACAACTGGCTTTAGTGATATGAAATATAAAATTGTTCAAAACAGTTGTATGAAACACAAAATCATGAAAATAAAACACACACAAGAAAATACACAATAAAATAAAATAATAGCAATACTTGGCCAAGTTCTAATTCTCAGTTCTAAATATTTTGGGTGCACCCTCTTAATATGAATTCAAATTTGTAATAAACAATTCAGATTGATTAAATTCAGTTCCAATTCAGGTTTGACTCAACATCATTCACCTGAGGAGAATGTCCACCACAGCGATATGTTTTAATGTCCGAAATAAATCTTGTAAAAAAAATAAGGTCCTAAATCCCAGAATGAAACAATAAAAGTGAAAAAATGTCAGTCAATGGTCCCGTGCATAACCAACTGTGCGTGAAGATGTGAGTGAAACAGGCCTACCACACTGCAGGGTGCAGCAGGACTAAAAATGGAAAAGAATGAATCCAGTTCTTTCTCTAAGTCCAGGTGGGAAGGCTCGCCATCAATCACCGGAGGAATCCACCTCAGGAATAATCCAGCATAAAGAAAAAAACCTGACCTGTCAACAGACAGGACCAGCAGAATAACATAATTTTTATTAAGCTGTTCTAGCTTTAATCCCTGAATCATGCTTCTCTAGACATCATATCCAACATCAATGTGTTAAGTTACTCAAATTTGAAATAACCATTTCCCTTTTACCTCAATGCAGTATTTCACCACATTATCAATTCACTTATTCTTCTAATTATAAAATATTTTTCAAACACAATAATAAAACATTACATTTTAACCAACTCAGTAAAAATTTACATTTTAATTATTAACTACATCCAACTAAACGCTATTATTCAACAGTAATGTGATGAACAGAACAAAAACCTAAAGGAAATGCACAAAATATGCTTACCAATCTCACTGCAACCTGTTTGGGACAACAATATGATGGCTCTCAGTCCGGACAGGTGGGGCACTTCAACTGAATGGAGAACAAAATAAACCTCCAGAAACTAATAGCTAAGAGCTAACAAGGCTAGCAAGGTAGCTTTAATGCTCGGCAGAAAACTTTAGTTTTTAACTCACCTCAACTATTTCCAGCTTGAACTGTGGATGATAAACGGTAATTTTAACTGCAAACTGTTTGTTTTAAGTTTGTATCCGAACTATAACTGTCAGACTATCACACTGCACAGCTCAGCAGTCTCCTCCTCATGCCAGAACTGGTACTGCAGACGCGGGGAAGCAAGACAGGACCCGCGCGGCAGTGGTCCTCTGACTCTTAAAGAGACATCGCCATTTTATGTATGTTACAGTTGATTTTTGCAGAAAGAATCTCTGGTTTCTGATTGGCTGTAGAGGTCTGCTGATGTATCTGCTCTTTATTTCTTCATTTCGGTCACAGTGTATCATCTATTAGGTGGTAGTGAAGCAGGAAAGGCTGTGTGGTTTCCTTTAGCAGACAGTGAGCAGTAAAGGAAGAGCTTCAACACGCTGCTGAAGTAACAGAAAACTGTCAGAAACTCAGCATGGACCAAGCTCTGCAGCTGGTGGCATCACAGTTGGTGACCTTCACAGAAGAAGACCATCCTGCAGCTTGATGCATTTCCTGAAGTAGTCTTTCTGATGTTGGGATATGTTGCCAAAATGGAGCTAAAATCAGTTGGATGAACCATCTCAAACCGTCCCCCTTTCCTTTTCCACAAAGAGTACAAAAGGATTTCCTGAAATGTACTGTGGGAGGCGGTCACCTCGGGCACAGACTTTTCAGCAGATGGAAGTGCCCCCACGTCACTCATGGTTTAAAAACTCGGAACGCGAACTAGATCTTCCTCTTTTCCCGTGGGCTTTTCACTGCCCTAAAGGGGAAGCCTGTTTCAAGTGAAATACCAGAAGAAAGCTAACTGGAAGTAGCTTTCGTTTTTCCTGCGTCAGAAGTCACAGATCGCATTGTTCCATCGTGCATAGCGGCTGCGCCAACTGGGGAGACAGAAGCCTCTGGAGCTGACTGCTGAGCGGAGTGTGTTTTTTTTCCTTTTTTCGTAAGGATCGGCCGGAGGGACGCTTCCTGCCGATTGCTTCCACAAAATCAATCTTCCTTGACTTAAGAGCACATCAAGCCCCCCGGCCTACAATTATTCAACTAAGAAGACTAAATTGATTTCACCTCCGATTTTGAATAGGGTAAATAATCAACTATAACTCCAGTTCTAGTTAATAATTTATTCATTATCTGCAGGATATTATTTTGCACAACACTGACGTTGCTGTTAAACCTTCATCACGATAAGTTAAAAGATGAGTCTTTAACAGAGATTGAAATCAGTCCAAGTGTTGGTCGTCCTTCCAGGGATTGGAAGTGTTGGAGCTGCAGCAGAGAAAGCTCTGTCTCCTCGGCCCTGAAGACGAGTTCTAGGAAAATCTAGAAGCAGCAGGTTACCGGACCTCAGGGTTCTGCTGGTCTCAGAGCTCAGAGATGGAAGGAGATGCCTGACTGCTTCAACATTTAAAAACCAAAAGAAAATCCTAAAAACTATCATAAAATATACAGACAGCCAGTTCAGACTGATCACGGTAAACATCTAATATTCTGACCTGCTTGTCTGCAGCGTTCTAACATGAGAACCAGAAGCATCCAGAACTGTTCTTGTCAGCAGCTCAAAGACTGAAGGATTAACCAGGAGGAATTTAAACCTATAGCTGATGCTCCTGCATGTGTATCTGGGTTAGATATAGAGCACAGTGGCAGATCATAGAGATATATCAGTTAGAAAGCATTACCCAGAATAAAGCTGGGATGAAGGTTTGAGTCTATAAATAACAAGGTTTGAAAACTACAGAATGCTGCTGTGTCCTGATCATTAAAATCAGTTTATTGAGCAGAAATGAACAGATCAAAGTGCTTTAATGTTTCTTCTCACTGGTTCCTCTGCAGATGCCGCTCCGACTCCTGCAGTAGAAACACGGACTGTGAGCTCTGACAGCTGCTGGTTGATCTGTTCTGTGGACAAACCAACGTCTCTGATGTGGTACAAAGATGAGAAAATTCAGAACCAGAGCAGTTCTGCTGTCTTTTTACCCATCACTGTCTACAGACAGGACAGAGACTCATCATGTTTGTTCTGTTGACAGACTGGAATGTGATCACACTCCCCATCAAGTTAGCAGCTTTTCTGGCTCTGAATGCAGTGATCATCGGACAGAGGAATCCATCCAAAACAAAACGGAAGTTACGACTGCAAATACTGTTCTATGAATCCTGGATGACTGCCAGAGGCGGTGCTTAAAGCACGAATAATCACTCTTGCGCATGCAAGAATCTTATACGAACATAGTCATTTGTGACCCCTGGTGACACCGGTGAGCCTATATATTCACATGACAACAACAGCTCAGTCCCTTAATCTTCTCGCAAAAACATGAGGATTCTGAGGGACAGAGCACACTAGCGGTCATCCGGGATTCATAGAACCGTAGTTACAGTCGTAACTTTCGTTCTATTTCATCCCTACTGACTGCCAGAGGCAGTGCTTAAAGCACGAATGACGATTACAAACAGAGTCCTAAGAAATCACATAGAGAAAATTAACAACCCCAAACATGCCCACCTCACTGGGAATATGGTGAGTGCCGGGACAGGACACCCTCCATTGGGTGAAAGGCGGCCGAGTTAACCCCTGTAAACCCAAGTAAAGCCTGTAAAACCTTTGCTAGGCTACCAAGAGGCTGTTGAACAAATAGCCTCCAGAGTGACACAAGTCATAGCGGCCCATGACACACTGACGCCCCTGGTGGAATGGCACCATACACCAACAGGGGGTTGGCGGGCATGCTGAATGTACGCTTGTTCCACCACATCCACAATCAAATGTGCAGGGCACTGTTTAGTAAGGGCCTGCCCCTTGCTGGGCCCTGTGTAGCAAACAAATGGACTATCTGACTGCCGGAGAGAAGCTGTGAGTCCGACATATGCCTTCAGTGCCCGAACAGGGCAGAGAGGCCCATCAGGCCCATGCACATCAAGGTGAGCAAGCTGGAGAGGCAGTGTGGATTGCGGATGAAGCCACCTTAGGAAGAAATGCCAAATCAGGCCAGAGAGTAACAACCGAACCAGCTGGGTTTGAACGGCAGCAGGACTAGTGAACAGACAAGGCATGTAGTTTGCCCTCCCGCTTTGCCGAGGCCATGGCGAGGAGAAAAGCTGCCTTCTTTGACAAACACTCAAGGCTTGCCTCTTCCAAAGGTTCAAAAGGAGTAGAGTGCAGGGCAGCAAGGACAAGAGAGAGGTCCCACACAGGCACAACAATGCATGTGGCAGGGTGCAAACGTCGGGCAACTCTCAGAAACAAGGAAACATCCTTGTTATGACCCACCATCTCCCGACTCACCACTGAATCCCAGCAAGAGATGGCAGCAACATAATTTTTCTGAGTGGACAGAGAGCGACCTTGAGAAAGCAGTACTTGAAGGAAGGTTAAAATAACTGAAATAGGACATTGTACAGTGTCCTCATTCCTTTCCTGACACCAGCGGCTAAAAGCCTTCCACTTATGGGCGTACACCAGCCGTGTGGAAGGGGCCCTGGCATTAGTCATGTGCGTCCAATGTCCCGCCATACTCCGAGAAGGAAACGCCGGGCCCCGTAGTGGCCAAACCCAGAGTTGGTGGCGACTGGGATTGGGTTGCAGGATCTGACCATCCAGCTGTGACAGAAGGTCCTTCCTGTGGTGAAGAGGAATTGGAGAGCTGCAACAGAGTCTGTGCAGCAGTGGAAACCAAGTCCTCCTTGGCCAACGGGGGGCCACGAGAAGGAGATGATGCCCCTCCTGAGGACCCTCAGGAGTGTTGCGCCTATCAGGGGAAGCGAAGGGAATGCATAGATCAGTACTCTCGGCCAATCTTGCGACAGCGCATCCTGACCTAGGGGACTGGCACTGTCTGCCAGGGAGAACCTAAGCGAGCAATGTGTCATCTCTTGGGATGCAAATAGATCTACTGTATGGCTGCTCTTCCGAACCTCTCCCAAATACCCCCAACTACCTCTGGGCGGAGCCTCCACTTCCCCGGTGGTGGACGCCCCTGGGATAGTATGACAGCAGAAACATTCTGCTCCCCTGAATTGTGGGCCGCTCTCAGGCTGGCAAAATGTGGGGCTGCCCAGGTCAAAAGCTTCTGGGTCAGCCTCAGTGATGTCATCAACCGTGTTCCCCTCTGATGGTTGATGTGAAAAACCACTGACTTGTTGTCTGACCGCACCAGAACATGCCTTACCTAAAAGCCCCCTGGATCCCATAGGGGGTCAATGGGCAATATAGCACCCTTGGCCAGCAAGGTGTCTATCTCTTGGCTCAGAGCCTGAGCCTTTAGCTGGTCGTGAATCACCATCATCCTGACTCGACCAGGGAAAGGAGGGTGGCGGCGGAGCTATAGCGCGTAACCCCGGGTAAGTATACACACCACCCATGGATAGGGAACAAGTGCGGCCCAGCAAATTACCTGGTCTGGGTGAAAGTTTCCAACCTCCAGCCCAGTGATGTCATCTCTGATCTCAGAGCGCCCACTATTTAACCATCCTCCTCTGACTGAGAGCCAGAAGAGATATACAACCTGGCTTCTGAGAAGCCAGGTTGTATATCCTGAAGTGAGCCGGAGTCAAAATTATCCCGAAAATCTGTGCCAAATGCCACCAGAGAAATAGCATCGTCATCTAAAGCAGAGTCCGGAACCCACGCTCTGCCCTTGGTCAAATTCTCCAGTCATGCTAGCGCCACACTCGCCCCTAAGGGACTCAAGCAGCGCTTTCATGGCCTCCAGATCAGAAGCGAGCTGGGCCACTTGCCCAGATAAGCCCTCTGAAATCCTGGAGCTGCTCTTGCTCCTCTTCCATGGAGGCCCCATAGCCTCAGGAGCCACACGTTTCACAGGCTGGCTGGCCAACCAAATGAGCATTACTTAGGGACACTTGGACTGATTCCTATTTTACATCACTAAAACTATGCATATTGACATCAATTTTTGACTGTTGCAGTATATACACAATAATAATGGTAGAATCTGAGTTCTGACTTTCTAAATGTCTCATGTGTTTACACAAAAATTAAAAAGGCCTATAGTGGTTAAAATGCACACAACTCATAACATATATGCATATAACTTTTTGACCCTTGATGTCATGCCCAAAGTCAATAACAAACCAAATAAAGGGAAAAAAATATATGAATATGTGAATATTTATTCAATTAATATTTTAATCTATATCATTTAAATAATTTGTACTTTATAGCACCAGGAATAATAAAGGGCAAATTATTAATAGATTAAATTTGTGGCTATGCAGTACATTTTTTGAAAAGATATGAAATGAAAATTTGTATTAATGTGTGTGTGTTTTATGTGCATCGAATTGTAGTTTAAGGATCTTGTTTCATTTTGCAGAGATTCCACGTAAGGAGAGGAGGTTAAGACCAAAACAAAAGGAGCTGTGTGAGGCTGCGAAAGGTAGTGGATCACTCACCAGCTGGATGACAAAGAGCAGAAGAAGTCAAAAGTCATTGACATTTTTAAGACCATGGGCAACAGGAAGTTGCTTTTATAACTGCAAAAAAAAAAATGCCACTGTGATGTGTACAAACAACTGACAGACAGATATTGACAGAAACAGACAGCACTACAGACCCCCATATCTCAACAAGTAGTCTCTTCCAAACTATCAGCAGTGTAGCAGGTCAGTCACAGTGAGCCATTTTTAATGTTAGTTATCCTTTCATCTTGCATGAACACAAACCTTTTTCTTAATCAGCTACTATCAACTCCTGTGCTCTATTGTGTCTACAAATCAGATCAAAACAGCCCATCTCCAGCAACACAGCAGCAACAAGCCCCTCAACAGAAGCTGTTCGATCTACCCATGATGTGAAACTCAGACTGATTTCGCCTTGTACTGACCTCTAATAAACACTTGAGTATGTGTGATATGGTGTGTTGTGATTGGGTTGGTACAATTCAACCAGTTTTATAGCAAGGTATGTTTCTGTATCCTGTTTTAAATCTGTGCCCCATGTGCCCCATTTTAACTTTGAGTACCTGCCCCTCAAAAAGTCTCTGCATGTCTCTGAGTTTAAGGGCTGTTACATGGAAATGATGGTTATCATGTCACATCACCATTTTATATTTTCTGCATGCGCTGCAGCCCATTGTAAAATAATCTAATCTGATTATATAAATCCTATTGATGGATCAATAATCTGACCAATCACTTTATCTTCATACTGTAATATTAACTCAGGAGGGGCTGCAACACAGGATTATAAAAGAACCTGAAATATTGATACTTCAAAAAATACTGAAAATATTAACAACTGATTTATCTATAAAGGAATATTATTCATTATCACAAGCGGACTTGGTTATTTACAGATATTGGATTAGTGGCTTTTAATAAGCATGTTCAGAGGTATTTAAATGATCATTTGTATAAATGTTTTTTTTCAAAAAAATATAAACTAAAACATTTAGCTCTACAGTTTATTCTAATAAAACAAGGCTTTAACAGCAGGTAGTTTCTTGGTTCAAACACAACAAACTGTATTAAATCCTGCAGTGAACTGTTTGACCTGCAGGAGGCTCAGATCTGCTGCAGCAATCAGAACTATTAAGCTTGTTGACTGTAAAACTGATATTAATGAGGCTGATGTGTTTTTCATGTTTCAGGGTAGAAACGTCCAAGATTCATCAGAACCAGTGACTCCTCAACATGACTGATGTCAGAGATGATTTATCAGAAACTTCTTCATCCAGCTTCTGCTCTTGATGTTTGGTTCTCCCAGATTTCCTCCATTAATGAACAGCTGTCAAACTCCTGGGATCCTCTGACCTTCTGAGGTGAAGAAGCTCTAAAGAAACCGACTTTATTCAGAACTTCAAGTGTTCCTGGAGTTTTCCTTCAACATCCAGTTTCTGTGACTCTCTCCATGCTCCTAGGAGGAAGCTGTATAGATGGAGGCAGGTTACACCCTGGACAGGTTTCCATTCAGTTCCAGACCAGCAGGACAGGAAACCAGCATCACAGCTGAGGACAGTTTGGAGGAACCAACTAAACAATGATGTTATTTGAACTGTGATAAGAAGCTAAAACAGCCAAAGAGAAGCTGGACATGCAGAGGGAGAACTCAGAGCAGAAAGAGACCAGACTGGGATTTGAACCCAGGACCAACTTGCTGCAAGGCAGCAGTGGACAACTCTCTGTGCTTTAGT